AAGATCAATTTCATAAATCTTTAAACAGTCTTTAACACTAATTAGAATACATATGAGTGAAATAATAGCTGTTTGCCAATATGTGATTCTGCATTGTTACATTTGCTTCCAAATAAGTCGATTATTTAGCCATCTTTATTGCCAAGGTCTGTCAAGGTACTGTAAGTACCTTATGGATAATGACCAAACTGTTTATTTCATATCTTGTTTTAAGGACAAAAGTCGCAAGTATTTAGAAGTGTAGATGTAGATCATAGAGTATTACAAAGAATTTGGCACAGTCCGATGCACCCTATTTTATTACAAATTTAATCACTTTATTACAAATTTAATTTATAATGATTTTTAATCAAACGTAATTAATTGTGTTTACCTGAATTTAAATTATAACATTAGTATGCCATACCATACGTACATCGGTGCACCTGGCTGAGCATCCCGAGCTTCGAAAGTAAAACTAAGCGAAAGAAAGTAAACAATCTCTATTTTCCACATGTCTGTGAATGCGTGTTTGGTGTTGCTTTTGAATTAGGGATGTTGGAGTAACAATAATAACAAAATAGTACCTTATAAGAAAATATGCCGATAGTCACTTAATATTACACTTTCTTAGATATTTATTAATATTTTTTTAAGTAGAACATTTTAGTCTCTCTAGATTAAGTATTTCCATTATAAATGACATGTATATATTACATTTAATAACACACGATTATTTCAGTATTGTACTGTGTCTAACACCGATGTATTTTATTACTTGCTAAATATACTGTATTGGGTGCCTTTTGTAGAGAACTCAAATGTTTTTGTGAACATTATCACACCGTATTATCTACCACGTATGTCTACCATTTCCAGTATGTAATTATTTGCCGGAATAAATATTTTGATGTTTCATATGTTTCGAATGATTATTACAATCGCCATTTTGGCATTTATCTAGTTTTTGCACGTAATAAAATTGCTACAAATAATTTAATAATTTACTTGTTATATGATCAATGCAAAGCGTTTTTATATCTTATGTAACATGTCTTAATTGAAATGTGAAAAACAATATCTTCTAAAACATTTATATTGAAGGGCAAAATATATAAAGTTCATTTCTATTAATTGCATTTGTTAAGTTTTATTTTCGGATATGATCGTCATATTAATTCGAGAAAAGCAATTATAAGTGGCTGCAATGTTTAATAAGTATATGCTAAATATCTTAATGATTTGAAGCAGTTACAAGGCACGCGAAAGGCATGTAAAAGTCATTATTTTGTAAAAGAGATATTCTTTTGTGTTTAACCTAATTTTAAGCCATGCATATATTTAAGTTCTATGGAAAAGTACAATCATCTTGATAATATATATTAATAGATTATAAGTTATATATATTTTTAAAAATTTACAGTTCGAACACGACTAGTCATTGTTTCTTTAAGCATAGAAACGATTACAAAAACACTACATAATAAAAATTAAAAAATCTCCCCCTTCATCGAATTTTTAAAACTACAAAACTCATATAGCATTTTAAATATGTACAAAAAATATGTCCACGAAAAATAAAAAATGTATAAATATCTTAGAAATTTGCACTTATATAAATAGCAAATAATTATGTTATATTATTTGCAATTATATAACAGTGCATTTCGTTTTATGTTTAAAATTGATATCACATGCAGAAAAAGTCATTGTTTGTCACAAATGTTTTTTATCTTGTTTTAAATCGTCAGGACAAGAAGCAGATTTCTTAACACTTGTGAGATCTATTATCGAATTATTTAAACCTGGTTCTTGTTTTTGCGATTCTATTTGTTTCTTTTTTAATAATGATCCTCCTGTGAAACCTAAAGACGAATAATTGCTCACCACTTTATTTCTTATACCGTTATCTCTTATATAATTATTAATATAATTATTTCAATGTCCAATTTGATAATTTTATACAAATTCTCATGTAACTTACCTAAAATGCCACAACCTACAGCAGCAAGACCTCCAATTTTCAGTCCAGCTATTAAACCTATTGGTCCTCCAATACATGTGCCTATCATAGCGCCTGCTAGGGGATATGCAGCAACTTTATATGTGGAAGCCTTTTGCAGGTATTTTGCTCCTTCATTCACGTTCATTTGAGTTTCTTCCATATTATCTTCCATATTATCTACCATCTCCTTCTGATCCTATAAGATTACAAAATATGCATTTAAATAATAAAAAGTAAAAATCTGCTTCTCTTTCCCATGTGCTAATACGCGAAAAATTTAGAAACAATTTTTTATTTAATATTATCTTTTTAAAACATATCATGTAATACAAAATAGAATTATACTCACATGTACAACTTTGTTAAATTCGGTAAAAAGTTCGTGCAACTGTTGTATATCTCCCTGCAGACGATTCCAGACATGCAGACATGTCTGTTGACGCTGCAAATTTTCCTGTTCTGCTTGCAGCTGAATACTTATGTTGTCAAGTGGATGTTCGATTTCATTTGGTTGGATCTCTTTGTTTGTAGGTGATATAGGTGGTGATGTCGGAAAATTCAGTTCCATTTCTGTAAACAACACATTTGTCAGATTAAAGAACTCTTCCTATACAAAATAAATAACAATAAATAAAGGGCAAAATAAGAGTCAAACACATTTCAAAGTAAGAGTCAACACATTTGTGTTTACATTAATTTCTTAGAATTTTATTGATCAAAAGAGTATGTTTCTTACCTAGATATTCTTCGATCGCGCTCATGATGCTTGACCGTGCATTTGTTGTCAATTTGTCAAATTTACTAATGTCAACATCGAGGACCTGTGCTCTAAGAGTATCCATCTGATACAACAACTCTTTCAATTGCTTGACGATCCGAGAGACATTTATATGTTCCTTCCATACCTGTTCCCAATCATGCTGATCTTGATACTGCAAAGATTTCAATTGTTCGTATTAAAGACTTTAAAAATATAGGATATATAAAACTGCATGTTTACCTTCTTAATATTGTTCTTGTGTCGCTTTAACAAATTTACATGATGTGGAATAGCAACATTGAAATTATTGATCTGGATTTCCAGACGTCTAATAGGCTGCTTAATCGTAAGATTCTCCAATGAGGTTGACATGCTTCTAGCGATGTTTTTCTCTCAGTTACGATACTGTATATTTTTTTATATCTCTTTTGTTCCACAGTGTCAAAGTCTACTCTTTTGATTCCAGTCTTTTTGTAGTTCTTACAATGAAAATTCTTCACGATGAAAACGTTGGTGAAATACGATAACAGTTTGGTAACTACGTCTTATTATTTCAACAAACGCACGCGTGCCCTGTGTACACGTTATCTCTGTCCAAAATAAATGATCAGCTGTTATCGCTGTTGATCGCGTACACTGTCAGAAAAAGACTGATTCTCTCCCCATCTGTAATAGTGAATTCGTACCAAGTGGCTACAAGTTTTAACATGACACTGTAAGATGGCAGATAATGTATCTTTTTATGCCCGTTTCTATCAATGTTTAAATAAAATCTTTATACTAATAAAACAAAAAATCTCCGGACAAAATATTTTTATATCAATGTAATATTTTTACTAATCTCTCTTTCTAATATAGTATTTAATTATACTGAAACTAATATATATTTTATTATACAAAAATGAATTAATTATAAGGATGCTCGGAAAAAGTCCAGAAATTATTTCTAAAGCATTTTATTTTGCAAGTATATTGACTTATAATGCCAGTAAAATATTATATTTATTTATTTTTCGATCATTATATGAACCGTTATGATTCTCAGTGAGACGTTTAATGCACTTATGATTGGATTTTATCTTATCTTCTATCTATAGTCCCTGACCTTGTATTTTTACTAATTTCTATATCTTTATATCCTTCATATTTTATTCATGCTATATTATAATTATATTTAGTATTGCTTTTTAATATCAACTTCAAACAGTCTTTAATTTTGTCACATTTTGAGATACAATGCTATTCGTAATTATTGTGATAAATAATTTATCAAGTTTGCATGTATATTAATATAATATTTCATATACGAGTATTTCATATTCTAACCTTCTTTAACTCATTTTTCGTTTATTACACGGCTAATAAAACTACAAATAGAATTTTATCGCGAATTCCAACACGAATTATTGCGCCTAGAGCGGGCTTTGTTCGTAAAATACAGGAGAAATATTGCCTCAATGAACGCGCATATTTCGCGTTTACCGCTCGTCAAAAGTGCGCTTTTGTGCAAATGATCGCAAAATGGAACGTCAGGCGATGTGACATTTCACCAAACTTCCTGAATAACGAGTTGTAACGATACAAAAAGAAGAATCTAGCTAATTGCGATTAATCCTGATGCCATAATCTTTGCGCTAAAGGCTACAGCACACACTTTCTTTATAATAGTAATCGTAAGAATTAGTCATAAGTCAATCATACAAAGACGTATTAGTATCGTGAGACATTACTTAAGAGAATTTTCAATAACGAAATTGACAATGAATACCAACCATAATCGTGCATGTATGGCAATATATATCTGGAAACCAGGAATAAGATTGCATTCGAAAACTTCATCTGAGATTCTCGAAATGTATCATTTTATCCTTATTTCACATCTAATCTAATGAGAAATGATAATGAAATTGACCTCGAATTGACGTCGAAATTATCAAATCGAAGTCGAATCAATATCGATTCGACATCGATTTCATTGTTATTTCTCACTGGGAATAAACGATAAAAATATTAAAAAAAGAATAACCCAATAAGACATTATGATATCAAAATGATGTCAAAATGAATTTAAAAATAATCATTAAAAGTCATTTTTCAATCATTTCCGATTTATTTTAATTTCATTTTGACGTTATCGTCACTTGTTTTATTTGGGAACGCGCTAGGCACTCAGGCGAATAGTTTCTGAACGCAGCCTAACGAGCGCGCCAAAAAGCGATGAGCTGCGCATGCGCGGTCGCCAAAATTATCGTCACCATTATTTCGCGCGTTTCGCGTCGTTGTTGGCACGCGAGTTTCCGTGATTTCCGCATGAAAAAGTAGTCTCGCGTACGAATAAACGTCGGGAGTGTTGACTAAAGTACGGAATAAAGTACCGAGTAATGCTAAACGTCGTCCTAAAAGTGGTTAATCGACGCGCGCGACAATAGGTAACGCGAATAAACCGCCGCCGCCATTTGTGCCAAACATTGCCGTATTCGTTGTATGTCCATTGGTTCGAAATCGTGCGTTTGACACGTTCCGTCAATAACATAATCGGTTAATCGTCGCGTGTACACCTTTATATATCGTTTTCTCGCTACATCGCGCATTGTGCAATCGGGTATTAAAAGTGTCGGCCGGCCTGTCGAATAGACGAATTAATTCAAGTACGTATATACATGCGAATTGTAATTGGGGATTGGATTTTAGAGTTGCTTTATTCGTTACCTTCCAGTCAAAATATGAAGCTTGAAATTGACATTAATTTTCTTTCTGCCTCCTTTTTCTTAATTAAATGCTACACTATGGAAATAATATTCATTAGATATAATATCTAGATATATACTCAATCCAATTAGATTTTTTATAACTTTCATAAAAATAAATATATTGTAAAAAAATTATTTTATTTAAAACGCTAGATATATTAAGAAACGTAACGATACCAAGTAAATAATATCCCGGGAAAAAAATGTTTTATATATATATAATTATATATAAAATATGTCCATATATGTAACATTTTTTCCTGGGATGCATCTTTATTAATGTAAAATGTTAAATATTATGAAAAAGTTATAAGCAATGTGGAAAAAACATTGGAAAGAAAAATTTTTTTTTATGCCATACCGAAAAGATTTAAGGATGAATATGGTGATAATATTGATAACTAATAATTTTTAAGCAATTTATATATAATTATATTTATTGCAGATGTCGCAGATTTATTTAATGGAGTTGATGAAAGGCAATGCCAGATGATTCGTGATATGATTGCAAGATATAGTTGAGATGCACATGATACAAGCGTCGATTATGGATAAGAAACAATCCTGGGTATGTCTGATTAAAAATTTTTTTGTTAAGCTTATGGAAAAAATAATTAGTACACTAAAAATCTGTTAAATAAAGAATAATTATGTAGGAATAAAATTTTTTGAGAATTTTCTTACTTGAGAGTTTAATATCAAATTTCTGATAAAAGTGTAGCAAAGTATAAATAATAAAATAAAAATATATAAAATATGTATAATATAAATAAAATATATGATAATATTATATAATAATATAGTGTATTAATTGCATTATATAATTATATAATATAACATAATATAATATTATATAATACAATCTTATATAAGAATTGAGTGAGAAACAGCCCTTGTTAAGATATTTTCATCGTATTTATTTTTTTGCGTGTTAATATAATTAAGCTTTGCAAATTTGTATGTTTGATTACGTAGAAAACGAGATATTTTATAAATATAAATAACTTTATAATTTTAAAACATGATTGTATTTAATATAAATATCATATTTACATATATAAGACAAAAGTGATATTGCATAAACAGCAGACTATTTAAAAATAATCTCATTAATTTAATAACAATGCTAATGAAACCAATAACATTGTATTAGAATAAAAGCCAGTAGTAGTATTTGTTAGTATTTGTTTTATTAATATTATTATTTAATTAACGAGATTATTTTTAATTGAACTGCTATTAACTATGTTAATACATTATTTTTCCCACGTAAATATTCAGAAAATCTTGAAACGAAATAATTACTTTTAACGTGAAATAAATTATATGGTACGATTACATGGATTTTTTGTTCCCGCTATCTTTCGATGCGAAAACTCTTAGAGTTAGCTAGTATTATTTTAAATTTTAATGACACACATGAGAGATGCATAATCTATCGGAGGAGTAGGAAATTCGTGATAAAGGATCAGAAGAGAAGCCACGAGTGGAATGCACGAATTTCACGAGAGTCAGTCGATATGTCGATTTACCGTATTAGCTTTGACACACAATCCATTTCCACGAATTCGACGTGAACGGCACCCGAGGTCCGCGTACTTTTATCCCGTGTCCGACGAAAATTATGGGCAGCACGCGTGCGAGATGTATGCACCGAGATGATCAATTATGCGATTCCGGTACTCGGTGGGTTCGCGGAATCCCGGTGAGTTTTACAGGGGGTCGCCGAATGTACAATTTGGTATAAAGCCCGACGAAGCTTTTGGTAATGAAAAACCGATTGCGACCAAATAGGCTCCGGGCTGCTGGTGACGTGTAATCGAGTCTTCTCTTCTGTCGCTTCGTCGTATCCACCCTCGGCCCCTTTTTGTCCTCCCCTTCGTCCACCCCCGCGTCCACATCTCGTCCTCCCTCTGTCCCTTGGTTTTCTCCCTGTCCCATCCGTGCTTCTTCCTCCACCCGTGATTTCTCCTCCGGCTTCCATTAGCCGCCATACGTCGTCTGTACACAGAGATCCGTTTTGTCCTGCTTTCGCATGACCTTTTATTTCAAACTACCGTATTCAAATTACCGCGGGCTATCTGGATATTCGATCCTTTGACCTTTTGTCGCCGGACGTTTAGAAGCGCTTTTAAACACCGGCCAGGATTTCCTTCATCGTTTACCGCTATCTAGATTGTGTTAAATACAGGATAAAGAATAATTTACTTTTTTTTTGAATTATTTTCAGTTAGGGTTGATTATTTATGATAAGTATGCCCTTATATGTACATAATTTTATTTTGCACATACAAAGTATTATTAATTTTTCTTGAGATTTTTCTCAGTGATTCGCCTTTAATATTCACTTTTAATCTTTAGCATATTTTTTAAAATATAAAACCTTGAAATTATTTAATATGCATGAATGTAATGGAAAGTTGCTTTTCTAATGAAAATGCTGTTTTTATCGTCATAAATTTTTAAATCCTAAAACGCATTTTAATTTTGTTGTTTCTGACGTTAATAGTTCTATAGATCCAACTTTTTGAGAAATAAACAAATCCTAATTTTAAAAATATTAAATATACAGAAATAAATTTCTTTCAATATATTCTAAAACTGCTTTAATTTTTAGCGATTGTATTATATGATGTACACATAGCGATAAAAAGATCTTATTACTTTTATTACTAAGAATATTAATTTGTTATATCGACTTGTTCACCAATTATATTAGAAGATAATTAGATCTTAATTTTGCATGGAGAAGAAATTGAGATTGCAAGGAGTTAAATTTGTGGATAAATCTACTATTCCAATTTACTTGATTTACATCTTATATCTTAGATATGTGAAATTATAATAATTATA